TTGACGATGACATCATCCACGTAGGCTTCTACATTTGACCGATTTGTTCACTTAGGCATGCCTGGATAGCCCGCTGGTAGGTTGCACCAACATTTTTAACCCAAAGGACATGGTTGTGTAACGTAGGCACCAAACACGGTGATGAAGGATGTCTTGCTTTTATCTTCTTTGTGGAGGGCAATTTGATGATAGCCCAAGTAGCAATCAAGGAAGGACAATAAAGCTGACCCGACCATAGAGTCTACGATCTGATCGATGCGGGGTAGGCCAAAGGGGTCCTTCAAGCAATGCTTATTGAGATCTGTGTAGTCGACGCACATGCGCCACTCTTTCGAGTTCTTTTTCTGGACGAGTACTAGATTGGCTAGCCAGTCAGGGTGAAGGATTTCCCCAATGAAGCCAGCTACCAGTAGCTTGGTGATTTTCTTCTTGATTGCCGCTTTTTTGTCGGGTGAAACCATCGTAGTCGTTGTTTGATCGGCTTTGAGCCAGGGTTCATGTCTAATTTGTGCTCAGCCAACTCTCTCGGAACACCCGGCATATCAGTCGGTTTCCATGCAAATATATCTCTGTTTTTTCTGGGAAAGTTGGTGAGCGCAAGTTCCTATTCTTTGGAGAGATGGGCGCTGATGATGGCTGTCTTGGAGGGATCACCAATACCCAGGTCGATTTCGATAGCATCCATCTTAGAGGGTGGGGCAATGATTCCTGCCTTCTTAGTTGGGATCTCTGTGTCTTCCGGGTTAGTCTGCTGTGCCAGGTTGGCAATTTCCTGTGCTTCATAAGCCTGCTGGGTTCTGGCTGCAATCTGGATGGCTTCCGTGTCGCAGTCGTACGAACGCTTGAGATCGCCTCAAAAGGGGAGTACGCCATTGGGACCTAGCATCTTGAGCAAGAGGTATGGGTAATGAGACACGGCCATGAACTTAGCCAAAGCAGGTCGACCAAAGATAGCATGGTCTGATGATTCAAAATCAGCCACCTCAAACTTGATGAACTCTGTTCGGAAATTGTTTGGATTACCAAACATTACCGGGAGCATGATCCGTCCGAGTGGCATAGCAACTTTGTCGGGTACTATCCCATAGAAGGGGACGTCGGTAGGAGTGAGTAAGCTGGTAAAATCCAGGTCTATCTTCCTTAGCGTATCTGCAAATATAATATTTAATCCCGCGCCACCATCAATTAGGACCTTGGGGACTGTCATGCCGGCTATTGTCGGACCCAAGACAAGTGGGTAGTGGCCGACGTTAGTCACACTAGTCCATTGATCTTTTCTGGAAAATTGGATCGGGTACTCAGACCAGTTGAGGTATTTTGGCGTTGTGGGTTTTCCTACCATGATGTCCCAAAGAGCCAGCTTCCCGGAGTGTTTTTTTGAAGAGGTTGGTAGCCCATCAAAGATTACTGCAATTTGACCCTCAGGCTGTTGAAATACAGGGTCAACATTGTTGTCTCCCTCTTTGTTGTTATCATCTTTACCCTTGCCCTTGTTGGTTTTGGCGTAGAAATCCAGTTCTTAGAGTTGTCTGCACTCGGCCGCCGTGTGCTTGGCGTTTTTGTGGAAGGGGCAAGGTAAATTCTTGAGATATTCGAACTTTTTGTTGTTCTTGTTTGACTTCTTAGACCTATCCACGAAGGCAAGGGTGTTGTTGGGTCCTCTTTTTCTGGTAGATTGACCACCCTGATTGCCCCTGGTGTCGTAACCCTTGTCTTGTGGTCCGCATGGGAATCATTCGCGAGTACGTTCTTCAGATGCAATCATCTTCTGTACTGTACGCTTAAATTCTTCGGTGGTCTCCGGGTTGTCATCACATAATTTTTCAAATTACCACTTGTATTTGATCCCGTTAGTGAAGTGATCTATCACCTCCCTGTCTATAATGTCGAAAACTTTCAGCAAAACGGTGATAGTACTCTTGAAAGGATTCGTCTGGCTTCTATTTGCACGTGCAGAGCTCGTTCCGGGTACTTGGAGTGGTGAGAACTCCACATAAATTTTCACAAAAATTACGCTGAAGCTGACCCCAAGTATCAATAGAGCGGGCTCGTAATCTGTCAAACCAGGCAAGGGGCACGGTGTCGAGTGCCATAGGAAAATATAGTACTTTGATGTTGTCATCGCCACCTGCCAACTCTATGGACTGAGAGTAGATGCGCAACCATTGGGTGGGTTCTGTCTTCCCGTCGTACTTGGTATGGTTGGATGGCTTGAACTTGTAGGGAAGCCAGACATTGAGTAGTCTGTTGTTGAAACACAGGAACCTATTCGGTGAGATGCTGACTTCCCTGTACTCGGACTCGCCTCTGCCTTCCCTGTTGCTGTACTGGTGCCCGTGGTAGGCTGACTACACGGCACCCTGATTCCTATTCTGATTACCCTGCGGTACGAGGCAGGAGTGGGCTGGTGCTCATTGACCTCCCCCTTGATTACCCTGGGGGCCGAGGCGAGAGTGAGCTGGTACCCTCGGTTCTAGCCCCCAGGAAGGGTTAGCCTAAGATGTCACCCGTGCCGCCTGCATCTGGAGAGCTGTTGATTCTAGAATGACTTTGAGTCATTGCTGATCAAGAGTAGGGTTGTCAATGGCCGCCATCTCTTCTACCAGGGCATAAACGTTGGCGTAGGGTGTAGTAAAGACCCTGTGGCCGGCTACTTCCATAAATTCCAGCTCAAGGTTACGTGACGCAGAGGCTCTGGCAGCGTCATGATCTCGGCGCTGTCGTTCTGCTTCTTCATCTCGAATACGCTGTTCATATGCTGCCTCCGTAGTCAAGCGTCGTCGTTCAACGTCTCGATAAGCCGACTGATACCGCTCCCACTCCTCCCTGTGGTGTTGGGCGCAGTTGCGGCGGATCTGCCGAGCTTTATTCTTCTTCTCCCTAGCCGTCCTCTGCTCGTCTGTCTCTCCATTAGGTGGGGCTGTGTCCAAGGAGATGTTGGACAAGTCCTCTTTCCCGTCTTGGATGTCTGGTGGAGTAGGCATAGGGATCTAGGGCGGCTGCCTAGCCATGAAAACTTCTCTGGAGTGTCTCGTGGCTGAGTGTGTTCCAAATTCTGCAGTCGTCGCAGTGCCCAAAATCTCTGTAGAGTTGTGATCGTTGCTGTCTGTTGGAAGGGTACTGCCATCCTGGTAAGGCAAGAGTTCCACCATGCCAACTAAACAGGATGGATCTGTTAGAGAGGTGCCGGGTCGAGCACCCGGCCAATGGACAATGCCCCCTTCGGGTGTGATGGATAGAACTAATCCTCTCTGGGCACCCGTAAGAGGGATTTCCTGCTTAGACTGCATGAGGTAGTTGATTGAATCTTGATAGATTGAAGCTAAATTGATGAGTTCGAGTGGAAAACGAACTGGGTCTTCGAATTGGACTTCAGATGGGACTTCCGACCAGGATAGAAGTGTCATGTCCGGGTGGGAGTCGTGGTTGGTGGTCACCTCCTGAATTTGAGTCGGATTGGAAATTGAGAGGTGCGAAAACTTCTCGGGGAGTTGATCTAGTGTGATCGTCGAGGCATCTGGTGAAGCCTGAGGCGTCGGGATCTGCATGAGATGGCTTTGGAGCTTGCCGTGGCTGTCTGCCTCGCAAATCCAGGAGCCGAAGATGAAGGTGGTTCCCGCCGAGAAAATCATGTTGTCGAGGTCCGCCGAGCTCTTGACTGCGAAGTCGCCAAAAGCCTCTACTTGGCGAGCCAGTTGTCGGTGTTTGATGACCTAAAACCCGTCACGGGGTACTCGGGACGGTGTTCGGAGGGATTCGGCGTACGCAAAACTCGACAGTAAACGCAAGAGACGAACGATTTATACTGGTTCGGGCCCTTTTGTCGAGTAATAGCCTTTACGTCCAGTCGGCGTGTAGCCTTTTGCGTTGGATTATGATAGGATTGTTAGGGTTATAAGGGGGTGCACCGTACCTCTCTTTATGCAGGGGAGATGGTAAGGGCACGTATCTAGTCCTAGCCGGTTACAAGAGAAGAGTCATAGCTTTCATAGTAACCGACTAAGTCAATCTGGAATAGCTCGAAGTACACAACACCTTGTCTCGTGTCCTTGAACAGATTGTGGGCCGGCCTAGGGCCCATCTAGGTAGTACCCTACGAAAAACCCATAGGACCCCGATCCGTCAATATCCTAACATTCTTCAAAATTAACAATACTGTAGAATGAAAATCATGAACTATCGTAGTACCAATACCCAATTCAAAACAATCGGCCCTATAGCAATTTTCGTAAAAAACTATAACTAATAAAAACTAAAAAGTGATAACGAATACTGACGCACGGACGATGCCAGAATAAGGATGGCAACGGGTCGGGTTCGGATTGGGTGGAGTCTCCGTGCACCCAAAACCGAAACCGAAATCGAAACCCGAATCCGCCCCGAAAACCGATTCGGGTGGAAATCCATCACCAAAGCCAAACCCGCGGATACCCGAAACCCGAACGGATACCCGAAACCCGAATGGGTACCCGAAACCCGCGGATATATACACACATATTCACATGTATAAATAAGAGGCAACAAATAATAAATATTTTCATGAGTCAACTTTAAATAAATTTAATAATCTAAGTAAACAAATTATTATTAGTATATTATAAAACATGAGTTTTAATTCCAAATAATTTATTTCGGATATCCATTGGATATCCACGGGTGGAAAACCAAACCCGAAACCGAACCCGATTTATTTCGGGCCCCGAACCCAAAAACCGTGGATGAAAAACTATCCTCAAACCTGAACCCGCATAACCAAAAACCCGCGGGCACCCCATACCTGATCCGTTGCCATCCTTTGTGAGAAGCCCAAACTGACAAGGTCACCCACCGGAATTTGGGAATTTCTCGGCCATTAGTTTGGGTTTCCTTTCAACCCACAGCTTCCGATCGCCATTTCCTGATTTTCCCCAAAATCCAAATCATCCCTGACCCCTCCAAAAACCGCAAATTTCCTCCCTGGGCTGGGCCCTCGCGCGGCCGCCGTGGAAGGACCCCCGGCGATGGGCTCCGGCGAAGAGGACACAGGAGGCGGAGGAGGGGCGGTGCGGGGCGCGGTGCTGAAGGCGCTCGTGGTCGTCGGCGGCGTCCTGCTGCTCCGCCGCCTGCGCCGCTCCACCACCCGCTGGGACCATGCGCGAGCCGTCGCCGACGCGCTCTCCGGTGAGAAGGTGACCCCGGCCTCCCACACTGGACTATTGCTCGGTTCCCGAGGCATTCCGATGCGGCCGCACTGAGAATTCCTCAGAAAAATTCCGTCCTTTTTTTTTGCTGCAAGGAGAAAAATCCCGATGCGGCGGCGTCTTTTTCTTTTAACACGTAGATAGATAGAGGAAAGAAATGCTTGTGTTTTAATGCGTTTCCTGATGTACAGTTCTCGAGGGAGCAGGCGAGGAAGGATCCTGACAACTTCTTCAATTTGAGGTCAGAATTTTATTCTAACAAAAGCACTGCATTCCTTTTCTTTGTTCGGATACTAGTGTTTCCACTGCCATTTCATTAGGCTTTTTGTCTTGGTCTGGTACTCTGGTAGTATCTATGAACTAATCGTAGGCTTGTTTTGGGAGGGAGGTATATGCACAAGCGCACCAATCGAATATTCGCTGCAAACTTTCTGTGAAGTGTTGATCACTGCAGTTCACATTGTCGATAAGCATAAAGGTTGCTGACCATGGTTTGTGATAATTTAGCTTTGGTGGTTGAGTCTGTTTTTTACAAATTGCTGGATAACTCTAGACTGATTTGAAAATGCAATACTTTCACAGCTGGTGCAAACTGTTTTTGATTTGATCTCTTCTTTGTTGGGTTTTGAATATAAACGTTCTATGGGATCTTGTAGTATCTACTGATATAATAGTGGATTGAAGGCAGCCATTCTTTCTAAATGGTTTAGTTCTGTGCTTTCTGGCTGCTGTCTGTCAGCTGAAAATTTTAATTAAAGCACCATACTGAATCTTCTAGCAAATATGCAGTGGGAGCTGCAGAAAACAATGGAACTCGATAAATCATTCAGCCTGTTCGCTTGTTGGTTTCAGCCAGGGCTTATCAGCCAGCCAACAGTGTTTTCCTCTCACAACAAATCAACACCAGCCGGGCTTATCAGCCCAGAAACCAACCAGCGAACAGGCCGATTGATGGTTAACAAACCTGTTGTACTTTTGTTGGTGCTTCCTTCCTGGCCATTAGGGTATGCATGTGAAAATGCTATGTCACCTTGTATTGTATTTCAAGTTTTCAACCTTGAGCAAATTGTTTATTATATATATCCATTAAAAGGATCCATATTTATTGTAGAATTCATAAATTTGATCCAATGTTTTCAACCTTGGACAAGTTTTTTCTGGTCCATTCCTTGGATCAGTGACTGAATGGTTACACTGACCTGTTATCGTTTTCTTTAACTGTATCCTTGATTGGTCTTTCTAATCTGCTGTTATCATTGACTCATTATGAATTTTTTGCTTGGATGTAAGTAACTTGGTAGAAGTGATAAACATTAATGATGTAGAAAAATTGCTGTTTATCTGCACTTAAGATGCAAAAAAAATTGTTCACACACCCATGATCACATACATTTGCTGTTTTTTTTTTAAAAATCCTTTTCAACTCAATTTTCCATGCATGAGACACGTATTTTTTAAGCATGTGCTGACGTGTTTGTCCTTTGTTGCAATTCATCCTTCTTTTGTTTCCAGAATGCTCACATGTCCTGCAACCGAGATGGTGGATGGCTCAAGGGTGCTTTACTTTGAGCAGGTATGATTATTATCTCTATCCATTCTTCTTTATTACAGTGCCCCTTTTTGGTATCTCAATTCCATGGTTTCCTTTCCAGGCATTTTGGAGATCTCCAGAAAAGCCTTTTAGACAAGTAAGTAACTCTAAACTGTATTAGTCACTCTTACATGTCTCCTTTTTTGCACTTACCAATTCATATGGTGGATATTATTTCTTATAAGTCTTGGGTTCCTGCACAAACTTATATATTGTTTATTTGTTATGCTAGTCAATATAGTCTAAACAAGATGATATTATATTATCTGACATTGCAGATGCATAAGAATCTTCTGCTCTTTATTTTACTCATGCACTTGAACTTTCAGTACACCCATGTGACTATTTCCTGTTACCTTTAAATCCTTTCTTCCTTGTTAACCTAACAAGATTAAACATTTCTTTGCCATTTTGCATTCTGTATTCTTGTGATGTGTAATGCTTTGTCTGCCAACTGTAATGATCTGATGATCCCAATAGTTTGGAGTATTGAGAATATGGTTCCATTATTCTGCAAGAAAGGCTTCAGATGCCTGTTGATTGGATAGTATTTAGATTAAATTTGGAATTCTGTTCTATTGTGTCCATTCTATATTTCCAATATCTTATATGCTCTACATTTGTGCAAATAATGATAAGTTCTGTTCTCTCCAGAGATTCTACATGGTAAAGCCCTGTCCGAAGGAGATGAAATGCGATGTTGAGGTGAGCCCAAGTTTAACATTCCTCTGAGATCCTGCAATGTTGTGAAGTTGATGTACTGAACAAACTGATGCATCCTTACTAATATTTATCAGAATTTACTAGTAGTATTAAGTTTGTTCTCCTCTACTTTTGACTTCGTAAAAAATGAGACCATCTGAGCAAATGGTATCTCCTATTCAACTATTAACTAGAAACATATGCATCTGGTTCCAAAACATGACATTACTTAAGGCCATTCCAACAGTTACAGTTCTCATGTTCAAAAAATTTTGGTGTGATGCAACTTGTCCATAGTGGGGAGCGTAAAATGGTCTATTTAGAGCACACAGTATTTTGTACAGTGCTACTTTTATTTTGATTGTTCTGACGATTATTTCTTACTTGTGGCCATTAATAACCTTTGAGTGAATCTATTAATGTCAAGAATCATTACTTTTATTTTCTGGTGTTTACAGTGGCATTGACATTTTGGTTGAAGCAATGCAACTTTTCATCCACGTTCCTGCTTTTAGGAATACTGATTGGGAGATATTAATATTTTAAATCAATTTCACAGGCAAAGCTGATTAAATAACATTTTAAATTTGTTTTCCAATGGACAGTTGAGTTCATATGCAATTAGGGATGCTGAAGAGTACAAGAATTTCTGTGACCGTCAAAAGGATCAGAGGCCACAGCCAGAAGAAGTAATCGCGGTATGTCATGTCTGAACACAATCTTACTTTTCAGAATGTTTGCTTGAGAAGTTTCTTCCCTCATTTACTCATGACTGTTGGTGGCTAAAGTCTTGAGGGACAGCTGAAAATGAAATAAAGGAAATATTTTACAACAATTAGTTAAATCTAATCAGCTTAATGATTATTCTTAGTCACCCTGTGCATACTAATGTGTGTAAAGGGTATTAGGGACAAGGTGGAGTTGCCAATGAATGAATGAATCAACAGAATATAGAAATGCCATTGTTTGTATTATCAAGGCAGGGATCCCATCTGTCACCAGACCAAAGATGATGTGGGATAGTTCAATGGGTTTTCGATATGATTGATTGATATTGTTTTGATAAGCCATGGATCACCATTTTTGCTTTTACTATTCATTTGCAGCCTTTGGTGTTTTGAATATGGACTTGAATGCTGTTGTGCTACTCCTGACCTAAATCAAGTCCATTATGTGCTTCACTTAGTGTACTACTAGGATGACTGATGAGGACCTAGTTCCTGCATGGAAAAAAGCACTCTCCCATTTTTTATGTGACATAACCACTTAATTGTTTATTGCATTTTAAACTATGCACTTAACTGTAAACCATTACATAGTAGGTTGTGCATGTTTATGTGTATTCACATCTACACTGTAACTCCATATGGAGTCGTGCGCCAACTGATATAGCTTTGCATAGTACATTCGTAGCTTAAGCTGTATACAACTTGCGATGCTTGTTTTTATTCACACAAGTTACTGTGCATTGTTACCCTAAATATCTAATTTATCACTCTAGTATTTAGGTTTACTTTTGGTGTTCAGGATATCGCAGAGCATCTGACCACCATACACTTGTCACGATGTGGCCGTGGAAAACGTTGCTTATACGAAGGATCTACTCCACCTGAAGGTCTTCCCAACAACTGGGTGAGCTAATTGCTCTTGTCTCAATCAGCAATTCTGCATATTCATTCCTCTTTCTGGCTGAATAATTTGCAGACATCTTTTTAATTTAATACTACATCAGAACCCCTACTGGTAATCCTTGTCATGTTTCGCTTGTTCCCATCTCAACACTGGTATTTTATAGAGTGGTGCATCATATTGTACATCGGATTTGTCCATCCACAAAAATGGTGAAGTACATATCTGGGACAAAGGTTTTGACGACGAAGGAAACCAGGTGATTTTCTTTTACTCTTCATGCACTAGTGTTCCAGATAGCTTGCCAAGACTATGTGAAAGAGTCTCCTTTTGACAATGGCTCACTTACTGTCAGGTTTGGGGAACCAAGGTTGGCCCTTACGAGTTCAAGCCTGCCCCCAAATCCAAATATGACGACATGTTCTCGCCATTAAATTTCTCCGCCCCTTTGTCACTAGAGAAGTAGCCTACCCCAACTTGTTTGGGACTTAAAGGCTTTGTTGTTGTTGTTGTTGTTGTTGTTGTTGTTGTTGTTTGTCACTAGAGAAGAAGCTGGATAAAGCATATGTAATCGATGACCAGTAGAGCCTGAGCTCTAAATTTTTTGTTCATAGGAATGCAATAAGTGAATAGCATGTATGTATATATTGTCCTTAGTTCTAATGCATTCTTTTTTCTTGACCAACCTGTGCATCTTGGTTGTCCATGGTTAGTATGGTGATGCATGATTCCTAGTCTGAACCGATTTAAGTAAGGACGTAAGATGACCCAGTTGCATTGTATCCTATGGTGTATTATGCTAGTCAGAAAAGATTTGTTCTAGCCACATTACAACATGCCACGTGCAGAGAATCCTAACACACATCGAAGAGGAAGCGCATCTGTGGTGTTTAGCTGGAGCAAGGGAGCTTGCACGGCTCCCTGTAGCAAACGGTTAGGCCCACCACCGTTGTTAGTAGCTGGTCGTGTTTTACTTTGACAGGCGCGAATGTAACTGAAAGTTAAGGGGTGTGTGGGTGATGTGCGTGTTGTATTTTACAACTCTTCTTAATGCAATGTGATGTGCATGTTGTATTTTACAACTCTTCTTAACGCAATGATACGCAGCTCTCCTACGTGTTCGAGAAAAAAACACTACAACATGCCTAGTCTGAACCGATTTAAGTCAGTACTAAATATGACCCAGTCGCATTGTACTCTATGGTGTATTATGCCAGTCAGAAAAGATTTGTTCTAGTCACATTACAACAGAGAGTGTATTATGACACTGGTATCATGATTTCTGATGTAGGTGGAATTATTTGGAAACCGTGGTTGATCGAACTTTACCTTCAAAAAGGGGCCGCATAATGCTCGGTATTCGGGTAGTAGCAGTCATAAAGCAATCGCAGCTTCCAAATGTTTCTTTCTCATGCTCATGTCTATATTCTTGTTTGGAGTCTCTGTTTGTTTGAGCTGCAGCTTTTAGGCTTTTGACTGGCTTGTTGGCTGTTATAATTTTTTTCTATGGGCTTTTGCAATAAATTTTGAGCTTCTCGCCACACCAAAAGCCAGAAAAGCTTCTCAGGACATGTTTTTCAGCTTTTATTTTAGTTTATTATTTTCTCAGAAGCTAGCTTTATAGCTTTTTAAAAGCCTGCCAAACAACTAGGCTGTTTGTTTTAACTTCTGGCTTTTGGCTGTCCCTTCTGCTTGCAAACATAGTGATCGTGCAAACATGGTAGCTAACTGAACAACTCGAATAAAATCAAAGCAGTATCAACCCATGAACATACCATCTGGTTTGAGGTCCATACGACCATACCGTTGGCACCTGTGGTATTCTACTTTACAGCTCTTTAGAAGACTGGTATTTTACCAGCTGATGGGCTTGCTAATACGTCGAAAAACTGAAAACACACCCCGACAAAAGACGGCAAATCATATAGTATCAAATAAACAAGCAGGCACCAGACAAGATGCAAACTTATTTGGTCAGAAGTTAAGATGGGAGCACTCTTTCAAAGCGTATAAACTTGGGCCACCACATCATTTCTGTGAAGCTCTGGTGTCCTTTTTGATCTTGGTCAGTCTCACGACAACATCACTCATCGTTATTCTTTGGTCTGGCAAGTCACTTGAACACCGTAAACCTATCTCAAATATCGGCGCTAGAAAGTTACTCCAAGAATTGAAGGAACCTTGCGGAAGCCGGTCATCCACAATGTCCTTTAAGGAGCTGTTTGTTTCTAGATAGTAACGCAAACGCAAACGCAAACGATTTAAAGCTGCAGACCTTATAAGCGGGAAATGCAAATGAACTAATCTTATTTACGTTTACGTTACCGTTGAACCAACCAAACACTATCTAAATTTCTTGGAAATGCTTGACTAACCCACTTCCTAAGGGTTAGTTCTCCAACAAACATAGGATCCGTCGGCTTCTTTCCTATGAATACTTCAAGAACCATGATCCCATAGCTGAATATATCGCTTCTTCTTGATGCTCTTCCATCTGATCCATACTCTGGCCGAAATTTTTCGAAACCTAGAAGGGAAGACTTAGCTATAGTAGTAAATGATGTACCAGAAAACATATCAAGCAGGTGGAACGAAGTGGGAGTACCTGGTGCCATGTACCCAATTGTCCCAGGCATGGTTGCAAAAACCATGGAGTTGTCGTCTCCATATAACAATTTTGCAATTCCGAAGTCTGCCACATGAGCTACCATGTCTTCGTAGAATAGAACATTGCTGGGCTTTAAGTCACGTCCTGAAGATGGGAGCTAGGAGGCCAACAGTTGGCGTCCGTGACCCACACGGTCACCACACGGTCACCCAGGTGAGTGACGGGCATAATAGCCGAAGTGGGGAAGACGAGGCGATTCAGATTCCCCGATGCATTCATCCTTATCTTCAACAGGACTTGATGACATGCACAACCAGCGGGTCAAAGCATGTGTGTGCGCTCTGGTGCTTGAGGAGTCAGAGTCACTCGAATACTCTTTGCACCGAGAGATAACTTCCATACGAAGAACAGGAAACCCGAGTAACCTCGACACTCGAGGGAACTCGATTCCGACTACACCAAAGGCCTCAACACCCGAAGAACGCTAATCGGGACCTCCTGGCACCCGAGGATTGTAGAAGACCATGGCGCCTGAAGGATGGGGCTCTTCGACTGGCGCATCATCAAGTCCTAGGGGGCTACTGTTGGATATATGGGACCGGGCTACCTCACCGACTGTATTCTGGCCGATAACCGCCTACGAGGCCGAAGACAACGAGGAATGAGGCCCACGTACGCCAAGCGTATCATTAGATGTGGAGATCAAGTTATCACATATATAGCCGGTGTCCCCATATCTATGAGATAGGATCGAATTATTCTATTATGCTTTCCATGTATCAAACTAGAAATCACATTTGTTAGTCGATTAGATCTGTTATAACCTACCACCCAGGCTATATAAGGAGGGTAGAGCCTCCCGATCAGGATCCATCCTTTACATTCGAGCGAATAGCTACATCACCAGCCCCTGTTACCGAGCATACAAATACAGAGAGATCCACTTCAAAATGGACGTAGGGTACCATGTACCTGAACCAGTATAAATCCATTTGTCTTTTGTGCTACCCATCTGATTCCATGTACGTGAATACACTGATTGGTATTACCGAGTAAAAATATCCGACAAAATCATTCCTGCAAAGTTTGGGAATTTTTGGAGCAAGTTTGGATCGATTTTGGCTTTTGGAGAGGGATTTTTGGGGTGCTAGTCATCCAAACCAGACTAGCCGACCCAGCCATCCGACCAGTCCGGTTTGTCTCCTCGAGCCGGCCAGGACGTTTGGCAGCCAGCCAAGCCGATCTAGTAGCCCGCTAGGCCGGCCAGGACCCGTCCAGATCAGGTCTTAGCTGGTCAGCCCGAGCCAAAGGCCGGCCAAGACGAGCCACCGCTACTACAGATTGAGCTACCACTGTCACCACTTTCCCTACCGTAGAAGGCATAAGTGACAATGTGATACTTTCACCGTCGGTTGGTGTTGGCATTTCTTAGCGTAATCACCAAATGAGGAGGTTTTAAGTTCATCACCGGTAATGGCGCCAGAAATGCTTGTTGGCATTTCTTAGCACAATCACCAAGTGAGGAGGTTTTAAGTCCATCACCGGTAACGGCGCCAGAAATACATGTTAGTATTTCTTAACACTATTACTAAGATTGAGTTAATCTTAGCAACGCCGCTAAGAAACACCAATTACGATAGTCCTTAAAGATTACAGACAATGTCCGTAAGCGTACGGATCTATCGTTGTAGCATTTCACACGGAAGTTCAGGGTATCGTTATTTATATTTTCCCAAAAGAGGGCAAGGTATACAAATTCTAGCATAGACATAAACATGATGACATACTTGCATAGTGGACCATAGTTGATAACAAGGGTAAAATTGGTATTTCATGGATAGTGGACACACATCTAGGCTAACCTCAAGGATAAAAGGAAAACAA